TTGAGTGGTCATGGATTTTTTGGATCTTTCCGGGCTGTACCGGTACTTGGAAGGATCTAGACAGATCACAGCAGGAAGAGCAATCAATTATCTATCAGCCACTGGGTTTACAAAGAGGAGGAATAAACTGTCAATCAATGTTTAGGAACACAGGGATAGCAAAATGACTGAAAAAAGGAAGAGAAGGACTACTGAACTCACCCACCATTGTGACTATCACCTGATTCAACAATAATAAAGCTGTTGACCAATCATATCAATTCATCTAAACCAGACTCAGACTTTCCCTCGCAAACACCGTACCTTTACCATGCATCACGCCTCAAAAGACACCTGTACTACATTCCAAAATACATTATTCTGTTGGAAATCAATTCTAATTGACTTGAATAAGTTAATGCTAACTGCTTCCGCTGTCTACCTCAGAAGAAATTCCCTAGGTTAAGTATTTAATTCACTTAAATATCATTATTGCAGGTTAGTTTTGAATTGGCTCACCTCATGCTCAGAATAAGATGACACATTAACAAAGCCCCACAGAATAGTAACAAGAGGGAATGTCGCACACTTTAATCTTTGCATCGCATGACCCAGGTCAGATATTGATCAAAATCTCCCTTTACTCTGCCCCAACAACTTGCCTCAGCTCCAACCCCAATATAAATCCCCTGATGACGCTAGGTTGATCTCCTGAACATTAGATATCCTTATGACTACCCCGAATATAATAGCCATGCCAGACCTAATCTGGGGCAATTTTACACTGGAGACTGCAAACTATTGAGGGGAATGCTGCATTCAATTCTGGTCTCCCTGCTATAGCAAAGATGTTGCTGAGCTTGAAAAAGTTCAGGAAAGAGTTACGAGAATGTTGCTGGGATTGGAGGGTTTGAGCTATAAGGAGAGGCTGAATAGGCTGGGGCTATTTTCCCTGCAGCATCAGAGTCTGAGGGGTGACCTTATAAAGGTTTAAAAAGTCATGAGGGGCATAGATAGAATGAGTAGCCAAGGTCTTTTCCCCTGGGTAGGAGAGTCCAAAACTGGACAGCATAGGTTTAAGGTGAGAGGGGAAAGATTTAAAAGAGACCTAAGGGGCAACATTTTCACACAGAGGGTGGTATGTGTATGGAATGAGCTGTCAGAGGAAGTGGAGGAGGCTGGTCCAATTGCAAAATTTAAAAGGTATCTGGATGGGTACATCAATAGGAAGGGTTTAAGAGTGGACCAAATGCTGGCAAATGGGACTAGATTAATTTAGAATATCTGGTTGGCATGGACAAGTTGCACCAAAGGATCTGTTTTAGTGCTGCACATACCTCAGTCTGCATAGGGATCCTGCATCTGTCCAGGGTATATTCAAAAGCACATCCCAGAAATGTCAAAATTCAGCTTCTACTTTTCCTAAACTTCCACTTTGACAACGTGAACAAAACACAGAGTTCCAAAACCAGTAGTTTAAAGCTTTAAAGTCACTTGTCAGTTTGAGAATGTCTTACTTACAGTAGGAATCCATTTCCAAGATGGCTTCCTTGGCCTGAAACGACAAACGTCAAAGTACTCTAAGCCAAGGGCAATATATGTACACATAGACAATGGAATAAACAATATTCCACCAGCATCACGCAACTCAGATGAGGGATGGCTGGCAACTGCTTATTACACCATATTAAATAAGAAAAGTCAATACTAGGTCATGTGCACATCAGAGGTTGAAGGCACAGTACCAGCAAGACCCTAACAGAGAGAAACATGCACATAAACAGTCTGGAGTGGGTAAGGTTGGATTAGTGCAGATTACCTTGGAGTAAGTTAGGCTGTAATAAGTTGGATTGAAGTGGGGTAGACTAGAGAAGGCTGAGACCAAAGCAGCAACTTATTAATGAATGGGAACCTTGTTTATCCACAACTGTGTCCAACATCCACCCTGAAGCTGTCTAGGTGGGGGTTAAACACAAGGGCCCGAAGTGGGTGGCCAAAATAAATATTGCAAAACAGACCTGGTATTAAATATTGTTATCTAATGTTTGTGATGGACCTGGTATTGAGTGCTGTGCTGTGGGCAGCCTGTTTTGATTCAAGGAGCAGCTCACCTTCTGTGGAATGATGGCATGATAATTCTCTAGAATTAGCCTCTTTATGTGATGTGTCCAGAGACGCTTTTCTTCCACTGTCTTTGCCTGCGAGAGACCAGAATGTCACATGGTCACTTACTGAATGGGTTTGAAGGGCCGATTGGCCTACTTCTGCTCTTAATTCGTACGTTTATAGATTAAAAAAAACATCAACTAGCCCGATCTTCCTCTTGGCAGTTCTTGATAATTGATGGCTGATGTGAGCATCAATTAAAATGTGGCAAGTGCCTTTCTCTTAAAAAATACGTGTAACCAATAAACTTCAACAAAAAAATGATTCACTCAAGGGGATGACTGTGCCCTCAATTTAAACCTTCATCCAAATGTTGGCACCTTCACCAATAAAATATTTGCTCAGTACTTTTCCGGAGTGGGGTTTGAGCCCATTACACATTTTGACTTCAACGTCCCCTGAATCTGCTGCAGCCTATTTTCCAGCCACCTCTCCTTGCACACAGTCATCAATCAGGCAGTGTCTGAGATGCAAAATCAGAAATTACTAGAAAAGCTCAGCAGGTCTGGCAGAATCTGTGGAGAGAAAGCAGAGTTTCGGGTCCAGTGACCCTTCTGCAGAATTGGAAGTTTCTCCAGCAGTTTCTGATTTTATTTCTGATCTCCAGCATCCACAGTTCCTCGTTTGGTTTTGTTTAGTGTTTGAGAATTGCTGAAGGGACACTCATGAAAAGTTTCCACACAAAGTGACTAAGTAGATGCTACAAAACCCATTATCTTAAAAGACAGTGTTGAGGGCAGCTGGCAAAAACAGGATGGTGAGATGTGCAGAAGTACATTCAGTGGTGTTACCATCACTGAATTCTCCACTATCGACATCCTGCGGGTTATCATTGATCATCTTAACTGGACCCACCACACAGACATTGTGGCTACAAGAGCAGGTCAGAGGTTAGGAATGCTGCAGAAAGTAACTCACCTCCTGACTCCCCAGAGCCTGTCCACCATCTACAAGGCACAAGTCAGGAATGCGTTGGAATACTTCCCACTTGCCTGGATGAGTGCAGCTCCAACAACAGTCAAGAGTCTTGACACCAGCCAGGACAAAGCAGACCGCTTGATTGGTATCACGTTCACAAGCATCCACATCCCTTCACCACTGACGCTCAGTAGCATCTTGTAGATAGTACACACTGGTACACTACAGAAATTCACCAAAGATCCCCAGACAGCACCTTCCAAACCAACGGCCACTTCCCTCTAGAGAAGGACAAGGGCAGCAAATACATGGGAACACCGCCACCCTTAAGTTCCCCTCCAAACCGCTCACCACCAGCCGCTCACTAATACAAGAGCTTGCAGTAAAAGGTCCCTCAAACAGTAATGAAACAAGACTATCTATCGCTCGCAATGTTGAAAGCTCCAAACTGACTTGCTGAGTGTAAAACTTATATTTATTGGGGGTGGTATGGTTTCTATAGTGTCTTTTATGTGAAGAAATGATTCCTGACATCACCCCTGAATGGCCTTAAAGTTATACCTCCTTCTTTTAGATCCCTGGACCATATGAAAAATTGTTCTTCAACCTCTTTAAGCCCTGCATTGATTAGATCACCTTAACTGTCAATACATGAGCAAGTACAAAATCTCAGCTCCCTGTGCCTACCATTTACCCTCCAGACACAGTCTGGACCTATTTGGATGCCTGGTTTAGCATTGCACTAGGCAATTCTATAACCTCTTTGGAAGGAGGGAAAAGGAAGGCAGGTCCAAAGCAAATATTAATTTTGTTTCATTGAAACAGGATACAAAATATACCCAAAGCTCTGGAAAAAAAAAAGTCCTACCCTCAGCAAAACTTCCATAATGTTTAAAAGAAACATTAGTGGTGTAGAAATGTTACGGGAAAGAGGGGTAAAAGAAACAGACTCAACTTGGCATCCAGCAAAGCTACAGAGTCACACGGTGTCAAGATGACATTCACTGCGTATCTGTGCAGCATGGGCAAGAGATGTAAACATCAGTGTGTTGTAGGACAAGAGGAGAGGAGTTCTGAGAGTTGCTACCACTCTTAAAACATTGCTAGTCTCATACCTGGACATTGTGCTGCTGCTTTGGGTTCTTGTAATGAGACAATCCGAAGCAAAGAGAGTCTCTGGTGCTTTCAATTAACATCAGTGCGGAACACTGTTAGAAAAAGAGAGAGAGAGAGAGAGAGAGAGAGAAAGAGAAGTCTGTTATAATACAAAATAAACAATCAATTTCCAGATAGCAGCATCTGTGTAAAGAAATCAGAGTTAACATTTCAGGTCAAGTGACCCTTCCTCAGAACTGAATTTCCACCTTAACGTAAGCTGGCTGTACAAAACTCCTGCACCCATCCCAAGGGATAGGATAGGGCTTTGATCAGAGGCCAGCATTTATTGGCTCATATAGGTCAGGATCCCTGAACAAATTGGTAGCCACTGGCTTCCAATGCTGACATTAGCAGCATTTAGCCTCAAAGTTCCTCTCTTCATGTGGGTCATTGTTTCTCCTGAGTTGGCACAGATTAGCACCTCACAGCACTGACAGTAAGTGATGCTCTGCATAGGTTTCTCAGTACCAATTGTACCACATCTCAACAATACAATTAGATTCCAGTCTGTAATTCAATCCCGGGTATCTGTTATTCTACACATAAACCATCTGAACCCCTCGGTGAGGTTCAGTCTGTAACTCACTCCTGAGTATCCATTATTCTATATGTAAACCATCTTAACACCTCAATTAAATTCCAATCTGTACCTCATTCCTGGGTGTCTACTATTCTATATATAAACTATTTGAACCCCCCGATTAGATTCCAGTCTGTAACTCAGTCCTTCGTATCCATTCTATATATAAATTATCTGAACCCCTCGATTAGATTTCGGACCGTAACTCACTCCCGGGTATCAATTATTCTATACATAAACCATCTGAACCCCTCAATTAGATTCCAGTCTGTAACTCATTCCCAGGCATCCATTATTTCAAGTTAGTTCCATTAACTAATCTGTATGTCAGGTACCATAATGTGGGTCTTGTAAATGAAGTGCTCTCCTCTTTTCTTGGCCAGCAGCAGAATTTTGTCAAACAGGAATAAAGTGCGTTCGTTTTTGGCTCGGTGTATCCGGAATGTTCCTTCCAGGACCAACTCTCCGTATGTTGTCAGATCTGGTCCATTCCAATTGATCAGCAAGCTCTGTACCTCCTGGGAAGACAAACATGAAGTTCACTACTCCTTAAACATCTGTCACTTAAGTAGAATATGTTCAAGAACAACATGGCCACCCAAACTATTTAACCTTATTGCACGTCCTGCTTCTACCACACATCAGAAGAGATACAGTCAGTGACACAGGATGCTGGGGGAGTGGGGTTACTGAGTGAGAGTGTGATGGAGCTGGATTAACATCAGGAGAGATACAGTCAGTAACACAGAACACTAGCAGAGAGGGGTTAGTGTGAGGTAAGTAGATTACTATCAGCAGACATAATGAGTAACACAGGGTTCTGTTGTGGCAGGTTTACTGAGCGACAAAGTGAGGCAGCTGGCTTAACAACAGTACAGATGGATTTTGATTTTCAAACAATGAGGTCATCTTGAAAAACAAATGTCTTGTATTTTTTTTTAAAGACTTCTTGAATACAGTTGCCAGATGGCCTCATTAGGAACACTTGGTTCATGTCAAAAAATAGCTAACGCACTCAGCTCACACACCTTGCTTTGTGTGATTGACATTTTTATTACCTAATACTACCCTTTCTTTGAGAAATGTGTTCAACACGTATAACCGTACCTACACAAAATTGAGAAGTGTGAACTGGATGAAGACTTTTTGCCATTGATAATGTGAATGCCTGTGAGTTAACCAACATATTTTGAACACGTAAGCTGAGAAGATTTCCACTATAGATTGCAAAGCCTTTTTGCTTATTATGTCAATTTCACAAGCATTTAAAGACTTACCAAGCTTGCCAATGGCTCACTGGCTTTGTACATGGTAGATACTGGGAGAGTACGGAGGATTTATGAAAGACACTGGATTTAAGAGAGGGATATGGGGTTCATGAGAAGGAATAAATGTTGAAGCCTTGAGTACTTGCTTGTCATTGGTTATAAGCGGCCCAATACTACCCAGTAAATCGACATGGACCATCCCCATTCACCTGCCTCCATTACCATCTCAGTAGCTGGGCTCCTCTAAAGGAGAGGGGAGTTTGGACTCCCTTAACAAAAATCTGTCCTGCAATCAGCAATACAGTAGGATTGGGATTGGAATGGTGGGACAGTGAGAGACATACCTGATCACTTTGTGTATGAGTGGTAGAATCAGTGTAGGTTGGCCTTGATGGAGATATTAAATACCTGTAACCGGATGGCATGCTCATGTTTCCTCTTCATGTCATTGATGTACCAGGCCACACCTGTCATGGTGTCAATAGCTTCTTCAATCACCTCATAACCCTCCTGGTTGGCATCAAAGTGCTTTGCTATTTCCTGCAAGGAACAAAGATAGCAGCGAGCTAGGACTGTAAATGGAGGAAGACCATTCTGCCACTGAAACCCTCTCCATCATTCAAACAGATCATGCCAATCTATATTTAAACTCCTTTCACTCACGTTGCTTCCATATCCTTACCCAACAAAAATCTATTAATTTCTGTCTTCAAAGCTTCAATTGTACTCCACAGCTTTTTGAAGGAAGAGCAAGGCAGATTGTGTGAAGTGTTGCTTCCTGAAATCACCCCTGAATGGTCTCTCTCAAATGGACTCCATCATTAGATGTGATTGTTTAGAGAAAAAGAAACTCTCTTTTGATAATCTTCTACCTATGAGACTAAATGAAGACCTGCATTCCAATAAGTGTCTCTCACAAACACCAGACATCCCAAAGTGCTTTGTAGCCAATGGAGAGTTCATAGATTCCCCACAGTGTGGAAGCAGGCCATTTGGCCCATCGAGTCCACACCAACCTTCTGAAGAACATCCCACCTAGACCCTACCCTATCCCAATAACCCTGCATTTCCCATGATCAATGCCCCTAGCCTGCAAATCTTTGGGCTCTGGGAGGAAACCGGAGCACCCAGAGGAAAGCCACGCAGACACAGGGAGAATGCACAGTTTGCATAGTCACCCAAGGCTGGAATCGAACCCACATCCTGGCGCTGTGAGGCAGAAGTGCTAACCAGTGTACCACCGTACCACCCTGATTTAGTTAGCTCAGTTGACTGGATGGTTGGTTTCTGATGCAGGGTGGCGCCATGAGTTCAATTCCTGCACCAGCTGAGGTTAACATGAAGGTCCCACCTTATCAACCTCTCCCACAGTGACCTTCAGGTTAAACTACCACCAAGTCACCTCTCTCTAAAGAGGGAGCAGCCCTATGGTCTGGTATGGGGACTTTAGTTTTTGTAACCAATTAAGTAGATTTGAAGTACTCACTGTTTTAATGTAGGGATCATAGCTCCCAACTTGTGTACAGCAAGCTCCCAAAACAAAAAAGGAGATAACGACCAGACATTTCAAAATTTAACAATCGATAATTGAAGGATAAAACTGGCTAGGACGCCAGGGATAACTGTCTGGGTCTTCTTTGAGATTATGTCATTTCACCTCCCTCTGAGAGGATAGACAGTGCCTCAGTTCAACATCTCATCCAACAAGTAGTGCTGCTGACAAAACAGTATTCCTTCAGTACTGTACCATAGTGCTACTCTAGGCAGGAAACTCTGCTCCAGGGGGCATTTATGGCAGGATGGGAATGGTTCACATAAAATAGATCAGTGCCCATTTTATCACCTTCCCTGCCACTCCCAGGGCAGCGTAGGTGGGGAGGGGACACTAAAATTGGCTTGCTGCCTTCCATTTTCAAATAAATAATTCATTATAAATTAAGCTTGCTAACAGGACAACTGACCCCAGCAAGACGCAGCTTATGTTGTAGTATGTTTGGCGTGTGTAGTAACAGAATTGGGGAACCTGTTCTTTCAAGTATTTAAAAGGGTAGATAGATAGAAATTTATTGTTACTTGTATTTGTAAAAATACGTGTATAAGTCGCCACAAAAACAGCGCCATTTAATTACATAAATTATATATAAAAGAAGAGACAAAGCTGAAACAAATATCATTTTTTATTCATTCCACTGCCTTTTGGTTTCATGAACTGGCCACCGATAAAGACCAGGGCCTGTCCAACTACGACGACCAGGGGGTCTCTCGAAACTGCCAATAACCAGGGCCTACTGACATTGTGAGGGCCGGGGGGGTGGGGGAAGGTGGGGAATGGTGGTCGCTGCTGAAACTGATGATGGGGGGCCCGAAACCACCAAGGACTGGGGGCCTGTCAAAACCACGGAAAGAGTGGTGGGATACACTCATGCATTGGGGCACCCTCCAAAGAAGGTCGTAGATTACTCTTTCTTTCCTACCCATCTGCCCCCCCAAAAGCCCAGACACCAATCATCCCCTCCGTAAACCATCCCTACCCTCCCCACCCAATACGCCAACATCCCTCACATGGGGGATCCACGGATTCTTCTGCTCGTTGCACTCCCATGGCCTCCACCGCTGAGCTCAGGATTGGCTGGCAGTCCCACTCTGAATCAAATAGCCCAGCCATAGGCTTCCCTTCTGCTGCTGATGGTCGGGGGGACGATATGTGGGAGAAACCACTTCCTACTCGCACCATAAAATTCTACCCCAGACACAGGAGTCGGACCAACAACATTCTGATCGCGAGATGATCAACTGCACTACAACTGACACCATGAAGGTCACTCTGACCTGTCCTCATGATTTAACCAACTTCACCTCCAGTTTCACTCTGGAAAATCTGTGCTGTACCACCTCCAAAGATAATATATCCTTCCCTCATCCATCTACTGATCTGGAAACCCAGCCTCTGCGTTCAGCGGTCACCAGGTATTCACTGGCTCCAAAATTGGGCAGCTTGGGATCAATCTGGTGGGTTGTAGCGCTGAACCACATGGACACCTTTTGATAGTCATTCTTGGGATATTGGTATCGCTGCAAAGCCAACATTTGCTGACCAACCCTTGGTGCGAAGAGGAGTCTGGTTCTCGAATGACTACAAACAGAGTGGCTTGCTGTGCCCAGTACAGAGGGAGGTTAGGAGTCACCCATGATGGGGTAGGATTGGGGTCATAAAGGTTAACTCGGGGAAGGAAATCTGTTGTTCATTAGCAGTCTCATCGATATGTGACTCCAGGCACCGAGAAATGCAGCTGAATCTTAACTGCCCTTGTAAATATCCTAGTAAGCCATTCAATTGCATCAACAAACTGCAGAAAGGTTGAGAAAGAATAAAACTAGATGGACAACATAGCCTCAACCTTGGCATCTCCAACATACTTGGCCCAGTCAGCCGGCAAAAGTCCTCCTCACCATCATCTACAGACTTAGGCCAAAATTAGGCGTACAGGCCCAACGACTAATCGAGTAACAGTCTGACATGGACATACTCAATAAATCAGGCCTCACATCTCAGACTGTCCATTAACGTCCCTGGGTATGTCCTGAATCACTGACAAGATAGACCCATTAGAGGTGATAGCACAGTAGTATACAGGAAAGTTTGTGCCCTTGGAAGTCCTTAACTTTGCTTCAAATTTGGGCAAGGAACAGATGATTCGCTCAGTGTCACATCAACAATGGTTGAGGATCCTGGATCTACTAAAGACTATAGAGATGTGACAACATACTACCTGTAACACTGATGTTGTGTGCTCCAGAACTAGCTGCATCCCTGGCCAAACTGTTCCAGTACAGCTACAACATGGGCATCTGCCAACTATCTGAAACATTTCCCCAGGTACATCAAAAAGCAGGACAAATCCAATCTGACGAATTCCTGCCTTTAACCAACAGCAAACTGGTGGAAGGGGTTGTTGACAGTGTCATCAATAAACTTACCCATTCATACTCAGTTTTGGTCTGCTGGGGTCACACAGAACCTGGCTTCACTCCACAGCATGGCCCAAACATTGGCAAAAGAGCTGAAAACTCAGTGGGGAGGCGAGAATGACTGTCCTTGACAACATTTGGCCATGCAAGAAATCAAGGGGTCCCTCATCAAAACTGGGGTCAACAGGAATCATGGGGAAAACTCTCTGCGGGTTGCAGTCATACACAGCACAAAGGCAGGGCCCAGGAGAGGTGGTGCACAAGGTACCAAACACTGGGGCCTGGCCTCAGTGTCCCAAATGGAGATCTTGTCATTGTCCAGTCTGATCCAACTGTGTTCAGCAGAATGCTCTGGTCATGCAATATCTCTGCACACCCTCCTCCCTCCTCTGTCATCTTTGTTACTGCAATTACATGTCAGCAAAAGCATCTGTTTTTTTAAACAGGAATGCGGAGGTGCCGATGTTGGACTGGGGTAGACAAAGTCGGAAGCTATGTGATAGAAGATAAAGGAGCAGCACTCTGAAAGCTTCTGATTTCAAACAAACCTGTTGGATTATAACAAAAACTAAGTTGCTGGAAAAGCTCAGCAGGTCTGGCAGCATCTGTGAAGGAGAAAACAGAGTTAACGTTTCGGGTCCGTTGACCCTTTCTCAGAAGGAAGGCTTGGATTATAATCTGGTATCGTGTAATTTCTGACTTTTTTTTTTAAAAACAGGAATGAAAACGTTGCCACTTTTCCTTAAAAGCTCACTGAAAAGCCGAACATTACGTTTTTATTTTTAAAATCCTGTCAACCATGAATTTGCTGAGAGTAGGGACCTAGAGAAGGGATGGGAGGAGCAGTAGGCATGGGGAGGATACAGCTACTTCACCAAGCCCACATTCTGGCTCTCTCACGCTCGATATTTGAAAGTTCTTCTGTCTGGTCTCTGTTTTCCAGTGATTTGTTTGCCAAGTTGGTCCAGCATGGTGCTGCCTGCTCCTTTCTCCTTCAGTATGGATTGATCAATAAATGGTGCCTAGCAATGCACTTCATTTTCTTATCCAAAAGAGAGGAACAAGTTGTAATGTATGAACAGACCTCCTGGTGAGAGTATTTGCTTTGTAGTTCTCATGCTATCTTCCCTCAAAGTGACTAAGAGCTTTCAAATATAATCCATTGAGGCACCCAATGAGACTTTGTACTCCAGTTGCTCCAATCACCGATTCCCTCTCTCCCAATCTTGCTCCTCGGCCCCAAAACGTGGTAGGACTGGAGGAACAGATGAACCCACGATCAGAGAAGCTTGCATCGCTAAACACCACCGCTCCTGATATCTCGCTGGTGACACCACATTGTTAACTTTGGCTCTGGACTGGGAAAACAGCCTGTTTTCCATCTCTGTGAAAACAAGCCTTGAAAACAATGAATTACACCAAAGTGATCACTTCCCTTATTTTTGGAACAGGATTTAAGCACAAAAAAAAAAATTGTATAAGAACTTGGTAAAATAAACATAAGGCTTTGATTGGAACTCATTATAAAAGGTCTGAAAATTCACCCATTTAGAAAACAATTTCAGGCCTTTGGCACAGCTTTACTTCGTAGATGCGTCAAAGTTCCAGCCAATAATACTGAGAAAAACAAATCGGGCAATTGGAGAAGCTAGCCTCGATATTTTTCTTTTTAAGATAATACTTTGCTCAAGAACTTGTGGTCATGAGCTCATCGTAACACACTAATGGGTATTCTCTAAAGCATCATTCTCCATGGCTAATGCAGTAGGAGTCGGTTAACAATCCAGCTGCTGTGCACTTCAACAGGGAAGGATGACTGACCAGATGTGGCCTTCGAATCTTATAGAGTTACCGTGACCGACATGTTTTCCCACATCTGCAAACCTTAAAATGAACAACGTTGCTCCCACCGCGCACCGTGTAGGAAACTCTTAGTTGCACCGAATGGCTTGCGATGACATGTCCCGGGAGGCCAAGGAAACAAAGTGAAAGGAGAGGGGTTGGGGGGTGTCACTGCCGCTATCGAAATCAGAGGAGTGCCCAGCCCGAGGGAGCTATCAATCTACCTTGTACCAGGCTGCCAACTACCTCCACAGTACAGCCACTCCCTGGGGCCCGTAACTTTGCTCCTAGTGATACAGAGTCATCCTGAGCAAGGTAAGTGTGTCCCTGGACGGATAGGGTAGCAGCAAATGAATCAGACCCTCCCTTCTCCTCCTCCCTCCCTCCCTCTCTTCTACAGCTCCCCTGACAATGAAAACCAAAAGAACTGCGGATGCTGTAAATCAGGATCAAAAACAAAGTTGCTGGAAAAGCTTAGCGGGTCTGGCAGCATCTGTGGAGGAGAAAACAGACCCTTCCTCAGAACTGATGGTGGCTGGGAAAACGTCAGGAAACGTAGGGATTTACTCCCTCCCCCACCCACCTCCCTATTTTCTGCATATAAACTGATGTTTTCCCAGCCACCATCAATTCCGAGGAAGGGTCACTGGACCTGAAACGTTAACTCTGTTTTCTCCTCCACAGATGCTGCCAGACCCGCTAAGTTTTTCCAGCAACTTTGTTTTTGTCCCCCGACAATGAAACCCTGCCAACTGCAGCATGAAGATCATCTTTCTTTTCCATACAGGGTAGGAAGTCAAAATATATAAAACAAATCCTGAGAGAATTTCCTGCAGTCTGGGTTGGCATTGTTGAACCTCTGTCTCAAGTAAGGATTTACTGTCAGAATACAGTGCAGACATTTTAACAAGGCAGTCACTGAAATCAGCCATCATCTGTACAGTGTTATCTGTCAATTATGCAGGGACGTATATATCAAATTAACAATGTTATGCAATGCTGCTAAAATAGATTTTGTGCTTGCTTTCTTTAATAATCATGGTGGTGCCAGTTATATTCCGCACGCAAACAGTAATATCCCATGCTGCATAAAAATCAGACAACACTTGTGCCCAAATGCCAACAATGGGTGTACTTGAGACAACAAGGTGCAGGGCTGGATGAACACAGCAGGCCAAGCAGCATCATAGGAGCAGAAAGGCTGACGTTTCGGGCCTAGACCGTCCTATAATGGGTGTACTTCTTTTACTAGGATTGATGCATCCTGAAAGGGGAAAAATAACATGTATTATTGAGGTGTTGTTGGTTGTCAGGAATTTAACGCTTGAAAATGAGCACTAGGGCTTATAATTTCTCTCTGTGGCCCTGCACAAAGAAAGGTGCTTGTGGTTGCTGCAGGCCAATCATTTCAACCCCTGACACTGCTTTAGGAGTTCCTCAGGAAGCTGTCCTAGGGCCAACCATCTTCAGCTGCTTCACCAATGACCTTTCCACCATTACAAGGTCAGACTGATGATGTTTGCTTATGATTGTATATGTTCAGCACCATTCTCAACTCCTTAGATACTGAAGCAGTCCATGTTCACATGCAACAAGACCTGGTCAATATCGACATTTGGGCTGATCAGTGACAAGCGTCATTCCTACCACACAAGTTCTGGACAATGACCATCTCCAACAATCTAATCATTGGCTTTCAATGGCATTACCGTTGCTGAATCTGGTGGGGGGAGCGGGTGGGGAGGTTACCATTCATCAGAAACTGAACTGGAATAACCATATTAATTTTGCAGTGACAGCAACAGGTCAGATGCTACAAATCCTGCCTGTTCACAAGGCACAAGTCAGGAGTGTGATGGAATACTCTCCACCTGCCTGGATGACTGCAGCTCCAACAATAATCAAGAAACTTGGTGCCATCCAGGACAAAGCAGCCTGTTTGTTTGGCACCATATCACACAGTGGTGACAGTGTACAGTGTACAATCTCCAAAATACATTGCAATAACTTGCCTAGGCTTCTCCAATGGCACCTTCCAAAGCCAGGGCCACTACCAGCTGGAAATTCCAGATACATGGATAAACTGCTACTTCCAAATTATACATAAATCTGACTTGGAAATATATCACCTAGTCTTTCACTGTTGCTGAGTTAGAAGCCTAGAATTCCCTCTCCAATCATATTGTGGGTGTACCTACACTGTAAGGACTGTCATGGCTCAAGAAGGCAGCTCACTACCATCTTCTCCAGGGCAATAATGGACGCATAATAAGTGATATCCTTGCCAGTGATGCCCATACTCAGAAATGGCAACCCAAAAAAGATTTTTTTTAAAAATTCAATGGGCCAGACCCAGTAAGGAGAGCAGGCTTTCTTCCCAGTGATCCAGTTGGGTTTTAATGAGAATCCAGCAGCTTTCTGATCATAGAGGTCTACAGCACAGATAAAAACCCTTCAGCCCATCGAGTCTACAATGGTCAAAAACCACCAGACTGTTCCAATTCCATCCGTATTATGGCCAATTTTCACACAGAATTTGAATCTGGTTCAAGAAAGACTGCCATCTCCTACTACCAGAACTGCTGGGTGTATTAGCCAAACTGATCTGTGCACTGTATTCCCGTTGATGTGTAGAGCGAATACATTTTGAAAAGGATGGAGGAGTTAGCACTGACATCACCAAAAGGCAGCACCAGCAGGGGGGCAGCTTGGGAAACTGGGAAAATCGGTTTGAGAAGAGTAGGATCCTGCATGAGACCCCCCTCATTGATCACTGTCTGAGCATCAAGAATAGACACTTGAAGCGAGATCTCAGCGACATTCATAAGTAAGGAACCCCATGTTTTAAGGGGAAAGAAAGACCCTGCATTTCCGTAGTGCCTTCCACGAGGTCAGGATGTCCTCAAGCATTTTACAGCCAATGAACACCACTTTGAAATATAGTCAGTATTTCCACAGCCAATGTGTGATCAGCTGTTTTAATCTTGCTTGTTGAGGGAGCAAGGCACTGAGAAAACCTCTCTGCTCTTCTTCAAAAATATGGAATCCCTTTGCACCTGGGCCAGAGAGTAGAGGGGACTCAACTTGACATCGGTACCTCTGATGATGCATCCACCCCTCAGTACAGCACTTGGAGCATCAGTCTCAATTACATGCTGAAATTCTGAAGTGGGCACAAAATCACAATCTCTAATTCAGAGAAAATGAGACACGCAGCTTGAGAAAAGGTAATAAACTGAACAATATTGCATTATCCTGGTATCAACCTGAAATAGACACGCAAAGCAGAGACAAAGCCTGGCAATGCCCTCATGTGGGTGTACAGAGTTTCTGGATTGTGGTACAGAGTGCAGTCTGCTGTAATTTGTGGTTTGAGCCCTTGTTCCTGTGCTCGCCTGGCCACTGCTGTCGTACCTGCAGCAGCAGATGGTACTTGAGGATCCTCTGAACAGGCTTCAGCAGGTAAGAGCCCAGTGGGAGGTTGCGTTTCAGAGTGGACTGACGCTCCCTGAAGAATTTGGCCAGGATCTTGTTCCTCATGCATTCAGTCAGCGCTGCCACAGAGCTGTGGGGAGGAAAAGGCAAAGAGGAAGAGAAGCTTCAATACAGATGCTTCAATAATTGGCATGTACACTGACGAGGATAGCAGCAAAAAGACACGTAAGGATCGGTGAAGCAGGAAGATGGAATTTAATAGAGCACAGTGCAAATCTTATGATAATAGAGGAGGCCATTCGACTATCAAACCAGTGCCAGTATTGTTAGAAAACCCCAGTGTGTAAATTACTAAAATAGATAAACAATACGATCATCTGAACAGAAGATTACTTACTTGGGGTAGTTGGTACAGTATTGGGTGTAGATATCAAAATCTTGACTCTGCAACAGAGAATAGTGAACAGTCTGTGAATTGCATGTAGGAAATCCAAACCAGCAACCTCTCCCTTCATCCCTACTTACTAACTCATGTTAGTTTATGGTCAAGGTAGGAGAGAGCTCAATTTACATAAGCAAGCATGCTTACATTAAGCAATGTGTTCATACGTAAGGATCACTCATAGCCGACTCCAATTCTGCTCTTAACCAAAGTCCCTATGTGGTTATGGAGCCTTGGCTCTTGTCTGTGGCAACTGAGAAACTGTAAAGCAGAATTCTTGGAAAAAGTGGGATTCAGTGCACGATGAATTTGAGATATGGAACATACAATCTAATAAAAGTCACTGGACAGAAAAGATTGATTAATCTATCCAGCTTGCCTGCTTCATGTCTGCAGCATTATGACCAAATTTTTCCCCACTCCACAAGCCAGGCAATCCCTCACAAGGCACAAAAAGCAGAATGAAAACCTTGGGCCAATAATAAAAGAAACCGTGCCACACGGTAAAAATAGCAGGTGAGAAAGGAATATGGTTCCTAATGCTGTCTACTACTGGATTTTGCCTCCCTCCATATCTGAACTGTTGCAGACTAATTAACAGGAGAATTATTGCCAAAGATGGTTAACAACTCCATGATCATTGTATCAGGTGACCATCACAATGATTGAAAATGAACTGAATGGACTTTGGGAGGGTTTTCGTCCATCACTTTCTACATTCCTGAATCAGGGCTTCCCAAAGTTGGGGGTTGGGATCCCAGGTTGGGTCATAAGCTTCAATTTTAAAGTTCCCAGCTCAGAGGCAGCAATGGCTGCTGTGTAACTCAAACCCCCTCTCCTTTCAGTTCCTTTTTACTCCCCTAGACCCCTCTTCCTGCTCTCACAGAGGGATCACGACAATTTTCAAAATGGGGTTACGGTCAAACAGAGATTTGGAAAGGTGTGTCCTAAATACTGATGGTTCTGCTTTTCTCCTTCTTCCTCTAAGTAACTTAGTTACAACCCAATGGCTGAGAGATAATTGATCGTTCTTACTGTTGTAGTCCTGTAAAATCTTTCAAAGTACCAGCAGAGTGATTAAAAAAAACATGTCAACATAAACAAAGCTTGGTCCATAATGTGATCAATGATGCTTTTACCCTCTTGGGATTTGGTTATAGATTCATACATTATACATCAAGGTCGAGAAAGTAGGCGACCACCTATAATCACGGAGTAACCATGAGATCTGACTGCGTCACTGTGATTATCAGATTGTCTCACCCTGTTGTGTAATCAAAATTGTCTACAACTGCCACATTGATTCGAACCCAGATCCATTCCCAATTCTTGTGCTCATCAAGTTGAGCAAAGCATGTGCCAGAAATGCATCTACCTAGCTAGATGCTAGTTAACATTTCTGATGGCGAATCCAGTACTTACTTACTTGCCCTTTGATGGAACAGTGCACAAGTCACTTTACTCCGTATTTAAATCCTTGACGTACCTGTTCAGGAAGTGTATTTTCAGACAGTGGAGTGGCAGCTTTGCCTGTCCAAACACTGTCTCCACCCCCTCACCATTTTATTCTTCTTTTTGTGGATTGATGTGGAATGGTTTATTATACCCAAGATGATACATAAATGCAAATTGTAGTTTCACGGCGCAAACATGTTCATCCTCAGTAAGGGTGGGTTTATCTATCGGTCAGAGAGCTTCCCACTTGTACAGCTCTGATTCTTCTACAGTGTCCATTTCTTAAAATTGTGGTCCCTATTTCCCCATGCAGAGCGGTGAACATTGGAAACTGGTATGGTATCTACTTCTTCTCAAGACATTCTCCACCAAGACGAGTATAGGTACATGTAGAGAAAGACAGTCTTTAACAGGCTGTGCATGCCCCTCATAGAACTATCTTCAAACCAGCCCAGAATACAAGTGTTGAAGCCCATTAGCGCCACTGCACACACCTCCTGGCTGTCTACTTTCAACGGGGCATACTTTGGTCGAACGAAACAGCACAGAGGCTTCCAAACTAGACAAAGCCACATATGGGGGAGATCACCTGTGGCATTTTTTTTCCCCACAGCCTTCAGTAGGTGATGGTCAGGATTCACACAATGAGCTAAAAAGCGTGACTCACCTTGTCCACAAAGCATCTGGCAATGGCCACAGGGTCATGGTGACAGCTATCAAGGTCTTGCAGCAGGTCACTGTGAAGACAGCGAGTGTGGAGAAAAGAGGGGCGGGCCAGAGAGGGACAAGAGATAAGAGGAGGGAGCAAAAGTGAAAATGGGGCGAATGGGTGGGGAGACAGATTAGAGGAAGCAGGCAATGAGGAGAGAGAAGAGAAAACAAAGCATATAGATAAAGGGAGAAACAAAGGGAAGGAGAACATAAAGAGGATGAGAAACAGAGGAAGGGCAGAGGGAGAGAAAGAAGATAAATATTAGGCAACCAAATATCTAAACAAATGACCATGACCTGGCTAATTCCAACAATGGATTTGCATACATTTGCCTGGAAAGGAAATAGGAAAAATGATATGATCTACACAAAGATATTTACAGCTTGCAAGCCAAGCCATTTGCATTCCTTTCAGCTGACAGCAAAGATCTTGATTTGGTTGTGATAATGTAAATAAAAAGGAGCCAGGTTCACAATACTCCCTGACTTTATTTCACGTGAAGTTGCTATCACCGACTTTACATTACCCTCAACAGTCAAAAGTCATCTCCCAGTGTCCAACGCTGCACAGTGACTGTCTATTCCACTATGCAACACCATACTTTGACTATCCATTTTGGAGAAGAGACAGACAGAGGGGGAAGACAAAGATCAAAATATTTTCACCAAATCTTTACCATATGCCTTGGCTAAATTCAGATGAAACGATAGCTTCCAATCTTGGTGCATAGAGAATGGGAGTTTCGTAGGAAGCCAGAGTGAGAAAAAGTGCAGAGGCTTGTTGGAGATGGAGAGGCAAGGCCAAGGAGAGAACTAAACATGAGGGAGAGAATTTATAATTTGAGACTTTGTGGGTGTTAAGATCCATCAGCCACTGGTTCCAAAGGCCCCAGTGCTTGCTCCAACAGACAATTCCAAACTGTTTCTCACATCCCTACAAAAGTAAACACGGAAGGCCAGAGAATCCTGGCCGTCACTGACATCAACTCCTCTTCTTTCACCAGTTTTAGCACACACAATGACAGGGGCCAAACGAATGAGGATGGGGCAGATGCTGAGACTGTAGAGTTCCACTAGACATGCACAGAATGGGAGAGAGAGAGAAAAAGAGAGAAAGATACAAGATGGTCACATGCAACCAGACACAGATTGACACACACGCAGATGCACAGCACTGTGAGGAGAAAGGAAATTTCAGATGAGAAAAGTTCCAGGATCGTGTACACAACTCACCTCCAGAAGGGGATTAAGTCCTATATGAAGGCAAAAATTAATATACAGCAATGAGATTGCAAGACTTAAGTAACACAGGCCACAATAAATTACTATTAATGTGGAACTGCCCAGAACACAGTGGAAGTACTGATATTAAAATATGCCCCAGTTACCACTGCAAGGTTCACATCAAGATGCTTCTTCCTCCACTGGGGGCAGGGCGTCGGGAGGGGAGGGTGAGTGGAATAGCTCGGGGCTGGTATCATAGGGTCAGTGTCTATGGAACTAACAGTCACCCAGCCAGCATCAAATTATCTAACAGAAATTGACCAAGGTCTAGTGCCAGTCAACCCAGTGCCTTGGGGTCTAACAGCGATCTACCCTGCGGCTCAGGATCTAACAGTGATCCACCCAGTGGCTCGGGGTCTAATGCTAATCCATCAACAGATGATTCAATATAAACAGCTGACCACCAGTCTTTGCTGGATAAAAATTATTTAACAGTGACAGAAACTAGATGACACTTCTGCTGCTCATTCTAATCAAATGTGGCGGAACATGTAACTGCTTGTATGCAGATGCAAAGTAAGTTAGAATTAGGCATTAGTTGAGTCACACAGGTACAAACACCAAAACCCTTGACAAGCCTGAATCACAGAAGCAAACATTTCCCATCTGTGGTTTACTTTGGCCACTCAGAGTTCACCCTCGTAACCAAGCTTCTCAGAAAGCCAATCAGAAAAGCACAAATCAACGTTGTTGTGTTTGCAATAATCAAAAGAACGAGCAGGAGGAACTTCACATGAAATTCCAGCATTGTGAAGTTCTGCTTCTCAATTAATCTAAAAACAACATCCACTGTACTCACTCATACAAATAAAGACCCCACAAACGCTAGAACAAGGGTATACTCTGCAGGCGGGGTACACTGCATGCATATTTGAGGATGCACAGGGATCAATAGAATTTAATATTACAAGAAGCCATTTGGCCTATCGTGCCTGTACTAGCTCTTTCAAAGAGCTATCCAATACTGTCTTACTCCACTGATCTTTGCCCAGAGTCCTGCAAGTGTGTCCCTTTTATGTAGGCTTACAATTCCCATTCCAAAGGCAGCATTGAATCTGCTCCAGAACCCTGTCAAATGCTAAATTCCAGATCATGACAACTTCATGGTGGTCGACTTCTCAGCTTATTGGCTCAGCGCTGTCTCACCTCTGAAACAAAAAGCAGTGGCTTCAAATCCCTCTCCAGAGACATGAGCACATGACCCAGGCTGGCACCTCGGAGCAGCACCGAGTATGTGGGACCCTTCTGGGGGAAATTAAACTGAGAACCGCTCTGATTTTGCCAGCAGCGTAGTGTAGGATGAAGGTCCTGTGGTACAAAGTTCTCCTGCTATCCTTGTCAAAATGCTTCCCTCCCAGCAAGAGACTCTAGAATCATATCACCCAGGAGACCATTTGAACAACCAAGCCTATCTTAGCCTCAGCAATCCAATTAGACCCACTCGCCATCTCTAACACGTGATTCATTCTCCCTCAAATATTTATCCAAATCCTTTTTGAACACAACACTCGAAAATGCCTACACTACTATTTCAAGCAAGCTTCCAGGTCAAATAATTCTTTGATTCCTCTGCCATTTATTTTAAGTGTGGCCTTTGGTTACTGTCCCTTCTGCTTGCGCAACAGTTTCTGCCTACGCATTCCACCCTTCCAAAACTTTAATCAGCTCAGTGAAATCTTAAATGAGATAAACAGCTTGTAAAGAGTGAGAGAAGAACTTATTTGGCGAGGGAAAAGCAAGGTGAAAGGAAACTGACAACACTCTTTTTTTAGAAAAATAACAACCAGTGATGAGAACAAAAGTAAAATGACAAATGCAAAGTGAAGCCAGATTCCATCCCTGTACCTGTTAAACTCATAGATGTCCTCAATGTTTCCAAACAGGGCAGAGACATGTTCGGGACGGATAGGCAGGTCCACAGCATCAATGATATAACCAAGATAGTCCTGGCAAGGGAGAAGAGGAGATAGAGGTTAACAAAGTCAGCATTGGTAGCTGTTGGCTTCTGCCTTCATTCACAAATCTATTCTTTCATCACCAACTTTATCCCATTCCCTGCCTGATCACTGTCAGGGTCTCAACCTCACTTCTTGCTATTTCATGTAAGTGATCAGCAACAATCTTTATTGATCATCAGTATATACAAAGGATGGCAAGAGAGGACATCTCGCTTGGAACTCTACTAAACTACACTCCATGTCCATGTGATTTGACCTCAATATTTCCTTTCGACATGCTCAATAACTATGCTTAATGAATAAAGGAGTATTTCCCTCTACTTTACACTTGCAGTCTCAGAGTCTTACTTCACCCTGAGCAGAGTTTCCAATCCCACATCCTCTCCAAGACTGTGATCTTCCACCTCCATAAGATCATCAACCTCCTCCCACTCTCTTCTGCAAAAAAAAAAACAGCACCTCTACTTCCTCAAGAGGCTACAGAAATTAAGCATGTCCATAGACAGTCTTACTAATTTTTATAGATGCATGATAGAAAGCATTCTATCCCCATGCATCATGGCTTGGTACGGCAGCTGCTCTGCCTAGGACCGTAAGAAACCACACAGAGTTGCGAACACTGCCCAGTCCATCATGCAAGCCAACCTTCCATCCATTGACTCCATCTATAACTTCTCGCTGCCTTGGGAAGGCAGCCAATATAATCCAGGACCCCTCCCACCCCGGTTATAATGTCTTCCAACTTCCTCTGTTGGGCTGAAGATACAAAAGCTTAAATACACGTACCAACAGATTGAAGAACAGCTTCTTCCCTGCTGTTATTAGACTTCTGGATGGACCTCGCAAATTTTAAATTTAACGTTGATCTTGCTCTTTGTACACCTTCTCCTAGCAGTAACATTGTATTCTTCACTCTGTTCTATTACCCTAACACTCTTCACCTGGCAAAGGAGCAGCACTCCAAAAGCTTGTTATTTCAAATAAAGCTGTTAGTCAAAACTTCATGTCATACAACTTTGCACATGGTATGATCTGCCTGTACTGCACGCAAAACAAAAAACTTCTCATTGCACCTGGGTAGATGCGACAATAATAAATCAAGTTAAATTGATTCTTAGCCCACCAGCTACTGAAACCCTTTGGCCTCGCTGCTGATGGATCTACAAAATGTTCCTGCCACATTACATAAGTTTGTGTCCACACAGCAGACTGGGAAGTACTGCACACAGTCTTATTCTATGTGAACTACCAGCCACACAGCTACCCAAAAATAAAGGTACCAGTTATTTATAAAAAAAAAAATTACTGCACTTAGTAACGAAATTTGAAAGGTGACATTGCTCCAGGTGCTATTATTCTAATGATTTCCTGGTTAGAAAGTTAATTTGCTTCCCGTAACCAAACTCGCAGCAAGTCCGTTTTGTAATTCTCAACATTTTTAAACACAGTGAAGAGGAAATAACAAAAGAAATAAAATAAAAATGTTCTGACATCCGTTGGATTTTTCTCCAGGATTGCACACAGCAGTGTCCTGAAGGATGATCACCACTTCCCTGGGGACTGCAGGCCAGGCCTTAACTAATTTCCAAGATTCCTGTGCCCCTCCAATTCTGGCCTTTCGCGCATTCCTCAGATTCTTTGCTTCAGCTGCCAGGCTCTCAGCTCGAGGGTTTTCTCCTTAGCCCTGTCTTCTCCTTCAAGACACTCCTGAACAGTTACACTGCCAGCCATTTTGTCCTTCACTTCAGCACTGACCTTTCAAGCACAGTGTGGCCCACTTTCACCTCCTTATGTTGAAAGATGTTGTCTTTAAACGCAAGCGCTTGTTATGTCCCCACAAAGCACTGACTCTCATTGGAGGCACTTTGTTTTACTCACTCTCATTAATGCAGCCAATGAAAGTCCCAGAAGGTGTTCAATCTAAGGGTATAGCCCACCTTGTACTCTACTTCACTAAGAATTAAAAAAAAAAGGTTTGCTTTTAAGCGTTTTTAAACTACCTGTACAGATACATTCTAACACACCTCTGTAGCAAGTGGGACTTGAACCTGGAACTTCAGGCCAGTGACTGTGACATTACATTGGAGGGGTGGTGTAGACTTGTTGCGCCGAATGGCCTGTTTCCACACTGTAGGGATTCTATGAATTCTATGATAAATTGCATTCACTTAGCACCCTTCACAACTTCAGTGCCTCCCAAACGCTCTAAAACTAATGAAGCATATTTAGAGCACAGACAATACTGTAATGGAGGAAACAATTTTGCAGCAAATTTGTATACAGCAAGCTCCCACAAACAGCAATGAAATGTTAGAGATATCAGTTCAGGGGTTTGAGTATGGACCAGATATTGGGAAGAATTTCCCTGCTCGTCTTTGAAATGCGTGGGATCTTCCACATCTATCTGAGAAGTCATAGAGACTTAACTGTTTACCATCTCATCTGAAAGACAGCGCAAGTAGTGCTGTTGAGTCAAAGCTGGCATGAAGTTAATCCTGATTCCTTATCACTATTCTGTAGCACTGCATGTGATTGAAGACTCATTTTATCATTGGCCACAGGAGTTTCATGATTGAGAAATGCGAGTGAACAGTACAGGTACAACCTGGCCCTCGAATCCCAACTAAGATCTCTTCTGTGTCTAGTGTATTAAGCAGTGGATTCATAGACACTGACTGAGGGGGACAAGTGGTTCCTGTTGAAGTGAAGTGCTGAACAATTTTCCCAGGGAGATATTCCAGCACAAAACTAGCCTGCTTTTAGCCCCTCTAGGAAGTTGCGTTCTGACTTCAACAACAGTGAAGGACCTCAGCACCAGCACCTTAGAACTCACTCACATGGCACCAGAGTGGTTTAGTATTAGTGCTGCCAAGTGGTTTAGCATTGTCCACAAAGGGATGTAGAGCGCTGGGGAATCCAACAAGGCTGCCCTTTAATCCAGGCTATCAGGTCTATAAGGTGCAAGTAAAGTTCATTGCACAGGGCTGGGCCGGGCCATGGACAATGCTGAATCAGTGTTAGGTTAACAGTGTGTCAGCTCACGTCATTGGCTCTGAACGAACAAGGCACTTGAATAGAAAACAAGACACAAACAAAGCTCAGGTGCCAAGTAAGGGGAGCGGGATATGGGATGGTGCTTACATTCCACCCTGTGAAGGTCACGTGAGAGCCCACATGCAAGACAGACAGGTCGACACCGTCAATTGATGGAGTAGGCCTGCCTGGGACTGCTTCCAGCTATGCCGTCCTTGTATGTACACACACAGGCAGAGGCACACACACAAAAATGATTCTCATATTCCTCCATTCATGGCATCCTAAGGACATTTGTACAGGAAATAGTTATTTACACAAAGCTGGAGTCCACGAACATCAATGAGGCAATGATCAATTACTAATGTGTAGTGACCAGGACATCAAGGAGACAGGCCACCCTCAGTTTATCATCTTGCTGCCACCTCTGACAGTGCAGCAGTCCCTCAGTCCTAAACCAGAGAGTTCCCCTGGATTACACCCTCAAGTCTGTGCAACTGAGCACGTGAACGTTTGGCTCAGAAGGTAAGTATGACAGCTGACTGATAGCTGAAGTGAGGGGAAGAGACCTTTAAAGGGCTGCACCAAGCTGTTTCCACATTGTTCCATCTCCCATGGTCTAGAATCATGAGTTTGGGTTTTCAGAGGGCTTGCAATGTCACAGGCCCCAGCTCATGCTTCTCATGGTGCATCAGCTCCATTAACATTCCCACGTAACGTCAGTCTCTGACACAACTGACAGCCACAAACGTTCTTTACACCTCATGGTCTCACAAACAATGGCACATTTACTTGCTCCACTCCCAAACGCCATTGGAACTGCTGTATTTATTGTTTACCTTCAGCTGCCGAGAGTGTGAAACTGATCAGGCAGCCGAAGGTAACTGTCCTTGTAATTGTGCTGTGTTGAACAGTGGAGCACGCCGACAATGCGTGGAGTTAATTGGTAACAATGTTACAGCATTGTTATACTATACTAGAAGGCCATTCAGCCCGTCATGCCTGCACCCATTCTATTACTAGTGTCAACTTTGTACTTTTCCCACATATTCCTGCATTTCTTTTGAAATGATCATCTAATGCTTTTTTGAATGACTTACTTGAACCCGCCTCCATGTTTCCAGGCAATGCATAACATACTGTAATTACTCGTTGGGAGAAAAAGCTTTCACTCACGTGACCTTTCCTTCATTTGCTTTGAATCTGGGCCTTCTCATTCTTTTTTATTTAAAATTAGATTCTTTAAATAATAAGGTTTAAAGGTAAGTGAATTTAATTTAAACACAAACAAGGCTGGAGAAACTCTGTAGGTCTAGCAGCATCTGCGAAGTGTTATACAGCACAGAAACTGACCCTTCAGTCCAATTTGTTGATGCTGACCAAGTTTCCCTAACTAAACTAGTCCAATTTACCTGTGTTTGGCCCATATCCCTCTAAATCTTTCCTATTTATGTCCCTATCAGAAATGTCTTTTAAATGTTGTAACTGCACCTGCATCTACCACTTCCTCTGGTAGTTTATTCCATATAAGAACCACCCACTGTGTGAAAAAGTTATCTCCAGGTTCCTTTCAAATCTTTCTCCTCTCACTTTAAAATTATGCCCCCTAGTTTGGAACTCCGCCAACTTAGGGAAAAAGCTTTGCTCCTCGTGATTTTATAAACCTCTACAGGGTCACCCCTCAAGTTCTTACTCTCCAGTGAAAAAATTCCCAGCCTATCCAGCCTCTCCTTATAACTCAAACCCCCCCAGTCCTGGCAACATCCTCTGTCTTAAGAATTGCCCCATTACCCCTTATACTCTTCAAGAGATTCACTGGATTCCAGTTGTCTATACCTAACATACGCCTCTTTCTCATTCTTGACCAGAGCCTCAATATCCTTATTCATCCATTGTTCCCTACATCTACCAGCCTTACCCTTCACTCTAATGGGAACATAATGAAGTCTCTGAAG